AAGAAAACTCTCTAAAAAATATATAAAATTCAAGTCCCAACAAAGTCTCATTTTTCAATGCTTCATTAAAGTAGATCGTGGACTAAGAATTGATTCAATTTAATGTTGAAGGAAACCAATTTTCAAATTTTAAAAGGGAGGCTCGTTTAATTTGGAAATATCTACTGGATGAAATTATTACAAATACATCCTCCTACAGTAACACGATATATAACATGGACATGATAACAATCTATGGAAATGTGATGGTGTGGGGCAGGGGGAGAACAGACAAAAAAGGAATGCTTACCCGTTTCAATTTGTAACTAAGCGTGCGTTGTAGACGACGACGACCTCGACGACGAAGATTTTGCAAAACCAACCTGAAATGTTTTCGTATGTTTGCATGTATGTATGTATGTTGAGGAGAAAAAAGTAATGTTGGTGTCATGGAAAATGTTGTTTCTTTGTGATGATGAAAGGTGATGGATGATCAATGGAAAAGGTAGGAGGAAGGAAGAGAAAGAAGGAATGGGGTTTTGGGAAAAAGAAATGTAAAAAAAAATAAAAAAGCTCAAAGGAAAATAGGGATGGAAAACAGAAGGATATGCTAGGATAGTGTTATTAGAGGAAAAATTATGGAATATCAAAGGAATTTGGGGGGTTAAATTAAATAAAAACCAAAAGAAAGAAAATAACTTAAAAATGTTAAAACCAAAACAAATTGAACAAAATTGTTTCAAAATTTCAAAACATTTTCAAGTTTTTTTGCTTTCTCAAAGTTAATTATAGAAATTAGAGAAAGAACAAAGGAAAAAACATACCATAACAAAAAAAGGAAATATATAAACTCAAAAATATAATAATAAAAAATCATCATCATATTTTCAAGGCACTCCACCCGGCCGATACTGCCGGGCAAAGTAATACTTACCTGGAGAGGGAAATGGCGCGAAGAAAACCAAAGAACAACCCAAAAGCAAAGAAAATTGAAGTCGGCAAAGCCCATATGCCACAGAAAACGCGGTGACCAGAAACCAGCATATAAAGTTGAAGATATTGCGCTGCTACTGCTGTTGTAGTTGTTGTTTGCCTCAAGTCCGATCTCAAAAAGCCCAAGCGTACCTCACTGTCTTTTTGTGGAAAAATCGTGTTTTGTTATACATTACCTGTTTATTTTTCTCGTTGAAAAAAGACAGCTACATGCTTTTTTCGACCGACTTAAAGCGGCTGCTGCTTGATGGTGGGGCAAACTGCTGGCTACCATGGCAAAGGCACAACACATGCAGACGATGGCGGCAGGTATTCGGCTTGCTGGCGGCGACTGGACTTTATTGCTGGCTGGCTGGGTTACACACTTTCTCACAGATTTTCTTTGTTTTTTTTTTTTTTTTTTGACTTTTCTTAATTCTTCTTTTTTTCTTCTTCTTCCATTTTAACACTTTTGTCTCACTTGTCACACAAATAAATGCCTACTTTTGTTGCGAGTTTTAGAAACATCAACAAAAGTAAAGACAAAACAAACACTACTTCTTTCAGGTAAAAGAGTTAAACTCCTTGGAACCCAGAAAAAAGTAGTAACGCCCGTAAGTAATGTTTTTTTTAACGATTTTTACGCGTTTCTTTTTAAATCTAAAAACTTTGTGTGCCATTTAATTACTAATCAACAAATTAAAAAAAATCTAACAACTTGTAAAAAAATTTTAAAAATAAATATTTTCAAAAAATATATAAAATATACAATTAACAAAAAAAAAGTCCCGTCAACCAAAAAAAAAATTAAATAAATTAAAAGCAATATTTCTGTTTTTTACACTATTCAAATTTCAAAACTGCTTAGAAACTAACTAAACACAAAATAAAATTTGAATACATTTAAGAAAAAAAAATTGTTTACAAAACCTAACAAAAAGTAATATAATTATGCATGCGTATTTTTTATCGACTGGATTTAAATATTTTTTAGAAAAACAAGTTTTGAAAACCTTTGACTGGCAAAAAAAAATATTATTCCCAAGTTAGGGGAGGGGAGAGGTGGTTGTTTTAGAAATTCCAGATAGAGAGTAAAACAAATTAGGGAATTTAGATTTTGGTTTGGCAATGGCAATTGCTTTTGAAAAATCTGCCGAAACAAAACTGTGGACATTTTGAAGTTAAAATAAGTTCTTTTTAGAAGGCAAAAATTATGAAAAATTTGCCTCTTATTTTGACATTTTCCAGGAAAATATTGCTTCAAAAGCAATATTTCAAGATTTTTTGTGGGAGGTAGTAACCGAATACAAATACCTTTTCGAAAGTATTTTGAAATTTTCCAAGGCAAAATTGCGGAAAATTACTATCCAAATGGACATGTGGCTTAAAAAGCAATATTTCAAGATTTTTTGTGGGAGGTAGTAACCGAATACAAATACCTTTTCGAAAGTATTTTGAAATTTTCCAGGGAAAAATTTGTGGAATATTAGCATTCAAATAGACCTTTGGCTTCAAAAGCAATATTTCAAGTTTTTTTGGGAGGTGGTAACCGAATTAAAATACCTTTTCGAAATTATTTTAAAATTTTTCAAGGAAAAAATTTATGGAAAATTATCAATATTTCAAGTTTTTTTGTGAGGTATTAACCGAATTCAAATTCCTTAAAAATTTTCGAAATATATTAAAAATTTTGAGAAGGAAAAAATATAAAAAATTGGCCTGGGCTCTTCTTTTTTTTAATATTAAAAAATATTTAAAAAATACAAATGTTTATTATTTGAAATAAGTAGAAAAAGTAGAAATTAAAAATAGATTCCAATTTAAATATTAGCTCGGAAAGCTCGGCCAAATGGCCTTGAATTGACCTTGCAAAGGCGGTTTATTTTCAAATTTCATTTGAAATCCATTTTCTTTCTTAGAGAGGGGGGAAAGAAAATAAAATGAAATTTAACTTTCCCTCCATAACCCAGAAAATAATATTTTCTTTTTTGAAAATTTGCAAATTTTTTTTTCCTCTTTGCTGGTCTTTATAGGAGTCAAAGAAGTAATTTCAATTGGACCTCATGGTCTTGAAAATCCCCTCATGGTCTTGAAAATCCCCTCATGGTCTTGAAAATCCCCTCATGGTCTTGAAAATCCCCATTTCAAAATGGGGATTTAAAATTTTCAAACTTTTCTTGCCATTTGCCAAGCCAAATCTAAAAAAGAATAACTGGAAAAAGAAATGAGTCTCTCTAAAATCTCGTCTTGGATTTTTCAATATTTCCTAATTGAGAAGTTTAGATCGGGAGCAGTTTAGCTTAAATCCATCCCTACAATAAATATTTTAACATGACAACTATCTTCAGAACTTCTAAATTTAATCTCAAAAATAGAGAGCGAAAGAGAAGATGATAACGGAGAATACATTTAAAATTGTTGTCTATACAAAAAAACATTAATTTTTCTTGGTGTAATGTACATGTATGTATGTGTATGTGTTGAAAGGAAATCTGTTTCTAAAATTACAATGATTTTGTTTTTTTTTTGATACACTAAAACAAACATCCTAACAAAATTTAAATCAACAATCAAGTATATTATAATCATTATGTGACGACGAGGAGGAGGTGGAAGAGCTGTAGGCAGCAAAACAAAATAGTGGCATGATAAAACATGAAGCAAATAATGAATGAGATTTTTTTAATTTTATGCATGATAAAAATATGGATGTATGGATGGATGGGCGATATGGACAGAGGTTGAGAGAGCGTACCAAATATTAATGATTCAATGATTGCTGGCTGATGAATTTATGACGATTTTGATTTTTTTATTCCTAAATAAAGAGATTTCTCTTTATGTGGTTTTTTTATAAACAAATTTTAAACAGAAAAAAAACTTTAAAATATCATTACTTATTAAAATAATGCTACTACACAAACACCAACAAATTATAATTAAAAAAAATAAATATTTATAAATTATATATATAAAACAAAATAAATCAAATATAATAACATTTCTTCTAAACAAGGTTAGTGTTAAGAATCATTGATGTTAGAAAAATAGAGTGGTAGTGGTGGTAGGTAGTATTAAAATAATAATGAGTGGGGTTTTTTTTGTTTGTTTTGGGGAGGTTAGGGTTAATAATACTAAAACTAAAAAAAATATATTAACAACTTGCACAAGAATAATATTAAGTATTTATATGACAGCGAGAGAGTTTTTAAATTATTCAAAAAAAGACGAAATTTTTACAAATTATGTAGTATACATAGATAGATAGAGGATAGAGGTAACAACAAAACAAAGATATATAAATAAAAAAAAATATAAAAAGAAGAAAAATAACCAAAATAAAAGTTATAAAAAGAATTTATGGAAAAATGTTTAAATTTGGCCAGAGATTAACAAAAAAAAAATAAAGCTTTACATAAATTAGCAGGGCCTTTTAAACATTTTTCCTCTTCTTTTATTTTTTCTTCTTGTATGTAGTTATTAAAGTAGTATTTGGTTTAAAAATTAAAAACTAATTAGGAGTGGGAGGGTTAAAAAAATTTTTTTGTTGCTTGTTTTTGTTAAATTCTCTTCTTTAATATCTCTAAATACAGATTTTTGATACTTAAAAATGAGCACGACTTTTTTTAAAAAAATTGTTTGTTGTTGTTGTTCTTTTGTATTTAAGTATTGTTTTTTATGGGGAAAATTAAGAAAGAAAGTATGTGACGACAACTTTAAAAAAACAAGGGAAGAAAAATTGAAAACAGCTTTTGGTGGGGAGGAAATTAAATATGAAGCCATTGAAAAAAATATAGTTTTATTTCTTTATAAAAATTAATGTCTTGTTATGTGTAGCTGTATTTATAAAGTGTTCCATTGATAGAAAAAAATGAAAATAATTGCAAAAAGAATTCGATTTTTTTTTGCTTTGTTTTGTATCGTAAACTCATTGTCGTCGTGCTCTTTTTAGCTTTCTTTTGCTTTTTCATTTGTTTATTACTCTTATTATCATAAAATAATGTATTATAATATAATACTGATAATGATAGGTTTTCGTTTTGACTCACCTTGAGGATCCCGTTGCTGTGCTTCTTGCGTTGCCAATAATAATTCATCCTGAGATCTATCGTGTTGCCAGGGTGCATATCCTGTAAAAAAAGAAAAAAGGTTATTAAATAAATTATAAGATTGCAATGGTCGGTCTTTTTAAAAATTTCCATAAATCCCTTAAAAATTCAAATAATTTTAAAGAATCGAATAAAAAAATTTTGAAAACAAATACTTAGGGCCTGTTTTCCTATCTCACCCTGTACTTGTATAAAGATACGAATGTGTTTTTGTATAAAGATACGAAAGTTAGTGCGTAAGAAAAAATACCATCCCAACAAGGCCTCTATTAGGTCGACCAAGGAGACTATTAAGTGGAGTCCTCATGAGATGGCGAAGGTCCTTCCCGTACGTCATATTTTACTGATTAATTGGCTGATCGCACTGTTTCAAATGTAGGTAAAGCCCTCCTCATATCAATTACCAATACAATATTGCTGTAAACTTTTCCACTCTATCCGAATTAATCGACCACAATTTTTTGTGTTTCCGATAAATGACTAAGATATCAAGTTTCAAGATAGCTTTTAACCACCTACGGCCCATTTATCTAAACCCATGACTTTCTAATCGATTATCTAATCGAATCGTCCGAATTAAAATCGATAACTTACTTTGCTCACAAGCCCCCATGGTGTTTCATGGCTCTACAATTGAGACATTATTCATATATTTTCCCTCAAGAAGTACGTTTTTTTGTCTCATTCCAACTCAATTCCAAATATTAACAGAATGAAAGAAAATCCAACGGAAAAGTGTGGAAAAATATCTAAATTTTTAAAAGATTTGATCCCGTATTTCCAAATAAGTAAATCCAACCCATGGCATCTTCTTATCCCTATGAATTCTATTGGTTTTCCTACTTATCTTTTTAAAATGGAGGCCTCATTTCCATCAAGAAATACACTATTTCTCTTTCCAACATGATCTCCAATACCTTCAAAATGAGGGAAAATCCCTCATGTTAAACATGAGTAGAAAAATCCCTTCCAGTTTTCTAATATTTGACCCCATATCTCCCAAAAAGCCATTTCTAACCCCATGACCTCTTCCCTACCATACAATCGGGTCCCATTGCTTAAAAAAAAAAAAACAAAAACAAAATTAAAGCCTTTTAACCAACCTTGACTAGATCCTTCACCACCTTGACTCGTGCCAGCATTATGATCCAAATCGTCCATACCCATATCCTCTTCGTCCAATGTCAAATCCTCAACAGTTTCATCGTTTGCCTCATCATCGTATTCCGCCTTGGGTTCAATTACCAATTCCGAGCCAGTTACACTTGATGTGTCTTTCGATGCCGATGCTTTCTGTTGTTGCTGTAGCTGTTGTTTATGATTCGATTTGTCGGCAGTACTGGCATCGGTAGCGGTCTCGGTATCCATAGCGGGTGTTCCGGTGGCCAATGAGCCAGCGGCAGAACCTTGTACATTATCGGTATTAATGGCATCTTGTTGTTGTTGTTGGTGTTGTTGAGTGGATCCTTTAACATTGTCAGTCTTTTTAGAGGAGCTTAAGGTCGAGCCGGTCGCTGCTGGGGTAACAGCTGATGTGGAGGATTGGTGTTGTTGTTGTGTAGCGGATAGGGGGACTACTGTGGATGCTAATGCGGCGGCAGCAGCAGCGCTGGATGGTGCACCGGCAGCGGCAGCAGCCAATGCAGAGGCAGCTGCTGTTATGGCACCCAAACCGGGGGCATTCGATTGTGTTGGTTGTTGTGATGAATTGGAATTATCATGGACATCTGAAAAAAAAGAAGTGGAGAATACAATAAATATCTAATCCAAATGCCCTGACTCAATGTTAACCTACCAGTCATGGGATTTTCAATGCTCCTGCGTCTCACTTTTCTACGTCTTCTTGATGGACTAGATGAACCCTCTCGCGAGCCCATTTCGCTGGCATCCATGGCTGGGCCAGCAGCACCTGTGATGCGTGCTCGTTTTGTTTGCTCTAACGTATAGCCACCGCTCAATTTGCCCGGCATTGTGGCCCTATGGTGTTCCGGATGTTTGGGCTGTGATGCACCGCCGCCAGAACGATTGTCTGACAGACCCTTGATTTGTAGAGATTCTGCAGCCTTCAACAAGGCGGCCAATTGATCTTGGGAGATATTCACCTCGCCACGATACATGTAATCCATCATGGCTCTTAGCTCTTGATATTTCACATCTTTTAAAATGAAGATGGGATGTTTATCGTATTGCTCTTGTAAAAGGGTCTGGAAAAGGAAAAACAAAACAATAAATTAGTTGGTGTTTTTCCTGAGTGGGTAGGGGTTAATTAAAACTTACCGCAAAATAGGGACTACACGCTGAGAGCACAACTTTGTGGGCTTTTAAGAATTTGCCTTCGGCGGCCAGTGTACAATCGACTAATGTCTCGTTTTCCAGCAGCGTGTCGAATACACTGATTAGTGTACTCTGATGGTTGTTCCATCTTAAACAGAATTGCTGATCGTCATCCATGGTGGCGGACGATCTTTAGTGTGGTGTGTTAAAACTTATTTTGACAAAATGATGGAGCCGCTTTTAGTATGGCGTTGCGGGGAGAGGTAAAGTTTAGGGGGCTTTGCAACAGCAGCACAACGGACAGCTGTTTTCTGGGGGGAGGGCGGTTGTTCGAGTTGCTCCTCCTCCAACAACAACGTTGTTACTTTCTTTGACTATCCTTTGCGGTTGACAGTTTGTAGTTCCTCTTGCCTTAGTTACTTGGGTGATTGTTTGAAGAAAGATGATGTGTTTGTTTATTTTTTAAAAATGTTTGGGGATTTTCTTTTTTTTGGTCACTACAAGTTAGATTTTTTGCTTTATATGTTTGTTTTGTTGTTTTTTTTTTTAATCCTGAGTGTAATTACGTCAATTTAAAAATTACTTCTTTGTTTTCTTATGCTTTCACACAAAGAGCGAGAGACTTAGAAAGACTGAGGAGAGAGAGAAATTCTGTTGTATATGTTCCCTTTTTACAACACCAACAACGTGGGGGGTTGTGTCTGGTTTTTATTGTGTTGTTGTTGCTGTCGTTGGTTGTTTCTTCTTCTGCATCTGCTTGTGTTTTATTTTTTGTTCTTTCTATTTTAGTTGTGTAGTATCTTCTTTCTATAGAGGAGGGTTAAGGTGGTTTTTTATATTGTTGTTGTTTCACTACTAGATTTTGGTATGTTTGTTGTTGTTGTCGTTTTTGTTTTTCATATGCTTGGCTTTTCTTGCTTCCTTTACACTTTTATGGTATCATTTAGGAATAAATAGAATAGTAGTTTGTTGTTTGGTATTTGTTGCTTTGCTTAGCTTTTGTTGGTATTTTTGTTTGTTTGTTGTTTTTTGTCAAATTAAAGCTGTAATTAAAAGAGAAAAAGCAATTAGTACGGTATTTTCATTTTGGAAATAATAAGAAAAATGTTGGTTATTTTCACGTAAGTAGAGAGTGAGCGTTTTAGACGGAGTGCGTTTTTTCTTTAAGTAATTTCCATTTGACGTGAAATTGGCGTAAATTTGTGCATTACTTTGGTGGCTTCTGTTTGCAATCACTTCGGTTAAACGATGTGTAACGACGACGATGCAAGTACCGCCAAAACATCTGTTATCACTTTGATCTTTATCGATAACTACTATCAAGGGCGTAATTACATTAGTGGCGCTTGACGTTTAACGGCAATTTAATGCTAGGAACACAATTGGAGCGAACGACGAATTTCGCCCTACGCGGCGACAAAATGAGCCGCGAAAATTCGTCGTATGGAACACAATACCGACGAAATTATAAAACAGCTGATGAAGTTGTTTACTTTTTGCTCATTTGTTGACTACAATGAATTATACAAGAACACATAATTCTTTACGTTCTCTATTATAATTTCACTTATGTCCATCTTCTCTATTATAAATTCACTGATATCCATCTTCACTCAGGCGCAAGTACACAAATAAATAAACAAATTAATTATGTTTTTTTTATACGAGTAACAGATAGTAGAGTGACCATAACAAATTTTAAAGTAAAAAGTAACTTTATTTACTAAAACACATAAAATTCCTACAAGTATGGCCACCTTGTACTGTTTTGTTCGCCGGTCGCCGGCGTATGAAATAGAAATAAAGCTAATTGAGTTCGCGGCGACCGACGAAATTTTCGCCGGTGCCGTGATTGTGTGCACTTCCATATACACATATGTGTTTTATTTTTGACGACGAACATACGCCGCGAAAAAATTCGTCGTTCGCTCCAATTGTGTTCCTAGCATAATACATATCTTCAAATACAATGACGCCGATTGGCATTTAACGGCAAGGTTAACATAACCTTCCCTGTTGCTTGGTTGTAACCGAAAATTCTTAGCATTTTTAATAAGAATCAAGTTATGTTTTAATTGGAATGCAAAATAAATGTGGCGCTTGGCGTTTAACGGCAATTAAATACATATCTTCAAATACAATGACGCCGATTGGCATTTAACGGCAAAATTTGAAATTTCTAACATAACCTTCCCTGTTGCTTGGTTGTAACCGAAAATTCTTAGCATTTTTAATAAAAATCAAGTTATGTTTTAATTGGAATGCAAAATAAATGTGGCTTTAGGGTATAAATTACAGTTTACACGTTTTCATTTTATTTAAATGATAACAATTTTTATCATAGGGGTAAATTATAAAATAAACTCCAAATCAATTCCCACACCTCCATCTTAAATTATATTACTTCAACAATATTCACAAAACAAGCTTCAGTACAGTCAAAATTAAGCCTTAAAATTCAATTAGGTAATAATCAAATGTTTGTTTTGATGGGAATTTAATGTAAATTAAGCGGCACAATACTGATGTATGCATGTATGTCTTGGTTTTGGAATGAAACCTGATTGTCTGTCACCCAGTCAAACCAAGCCAGTCGGCAAAATCATATACAACAATTAAACTTTAAAGAGACAGGTAAACAACAAATGATGAATAAATTTATTATTCCATTCATACTGTGTGTGTGTGACGATGGGACAGTGATAAAAAGAAAGTACCGTTATGTGTCATTCTGTTGTGTGTGCTGGCGATAATTTCAAGACAAAACCTGATAAATTTGCACTTTCTTTTTTATGCGCGCCCACGAGAAGACAAAAAGAAAAGAATCTTTGACGTTATAATAATGAATAATTAAGTGACTGGTTTAGTTGGGAGTTTAATTTATATAGATTTATGCCACCAAATATTTAGTGACGTTCTTTTTCTGCTTAATTTGTTTCACAATTTAGCTAATTTAAGCATTTGCTTTAATAAACAGCTGTTTAGAGAAATAATCGATAACGGTGGTTAAGAGAATAATGCAACAATTATCGAATATATGAAGATGACATACACGAGTAAGTTACTACACGAGAGAGCATTGGAAAGGAAATCTCTATTATAATCACATTTTTCAATTAATTTTGTGTTACCCCGCAAAAGATTTTTTCCAAGCAAACCTCAAAATAATAACATTTTATTTACACTGTAAAATTTTCTAAAACATTTTTCAAATTTCATTGAAAATAAATGTCGTCTTTGTATCGCCGCCACATTCACGGCTAGTCATTCATGACATTTGCACAACTTGAAAAGGCAAAAACACACAATTTTTGCCATTTTATTTCTTTTTGTTCTTTAACGAGAGATTCACATCAAGGCCGACACCGGTTTATTTTGCCAAACAGAATAATAATTATTCACTTCTTAATTGACGAAAGAAACAAAGAATTCCCACCAATTATAGTCGACTGGTTGACTGCTGTTTGACAAGAAGAGTGCTGGTTGTCTGATTAGAGAGGGAGAGGAAAGTAAAACAAATTGCATTACAAAGAAACACTCGTGTACACAATGTGCATATAGTAGCACTGGACACAAAATAAATGATAGATTATCTATAAAAATATGTTTTTTGTTAGAATTACTTAAAGGAGTTGGTACACACTTCGTTTTTACATGACCCAGAGCCGAAGAGATGATAGACGATGATAGTTCATGGCCATGTTGTTATCGATCAGTAATGATAACACATCAACGTTGCCACATTGTTTGTTTAGGGATATAACAAGGACAGGAATTATTTATTATTGAGTAAAATTGTGAATGAAAGCTACTAATTTTTTGGGGGGAATTCATTCGATCTTACACACTTTTGAAACGAAATGTACAAACTGTCCGTAAATCCAACAATTGGACCTTTCACAAAATTTTTTCTAAATATCAATCAAGACTTAAAGAATAGAATCAAAAAAATTTTTTTAGAATTTTATCGAATGGAGCATTATTGACTTTCGTCCTTTTTATTGGCATCTTCAAAATTAATTATAAAAAATCTAGAACGCTATTAATTTCCGAGAGGCAAACATTGTCACTGACAGACCAGAAATATTAATGAAAAATGTGAAAAGAAAAGTTATTATTGAATTACTTAAAATCAGCAGATCGATATATTATCTTACAATCTCGATAACTAATGAGATTTGATGCAAATTAGAGACAAAAATATGTTGGGGCAAAATCTTGGGTAGTGATAAATTTTAATTAAAAAAAACTTTCAAACTAATAAGAAAACTTTCTGAAATAACATATAAATTTATTTTCATTGAGAATTAAATAGATTTCACTTTTGAAATTGTGTTAATAATAGTTGAACACAAATAAATCTAATATGGGTCAATGTGAATAACTCAAATTGTATGAATTGTCCCTTATGCTATTTTTATTCATGTTTTAAATATTTTCCTACAATTAATGCATGTTAGGGAATTTAATCACAAACTTGAACTATCACTGATTTCTCCAAAAACCAACAAGTTAATTCATCACATAACGTTTTAGCAATAGTGATTTTTGATTATAGTTATTTACTTGGAACTATTGCAAATTATTAATAACCCACATCAGAAATCCTTTTTCAACAAAAATAACTTAATTTTACACAATTTTTTTTCAATTTCCAGCAGAAAAAAAAAAACTTTTCTTTGAAAATTAACAAAATCACCAATTTGTTATCGAAATCCCTCCGATAACACTTGCAATGACAATCAAACTGTAACAGGCGGTGGAATTACATGAAGAGGGGAGAAGAGAAAGAGAAAAAACTTGGCTTTTGATGTTAATTTCAATTAATTTTCATAACTAGTGGATAAAAAGAAAATAAATCTAGGAAAATCCCAGCAAGTGATTCAGGCAAGAATTGTAGAAATGTTATTTCTTCAATGAAAACTAAAGCACTCTTTCTCATTCACACTGCCAACCAAAAATCATGGTGAAAATAGCAATTAATTTTATTCCCGGCATTAAAACAATGCATTTTGTCAAAAATAAAACATGAAAACTCCAATCATTAAAAAAAATAAAACAGAAAAAAAATTATAATTATTGTTTATGATAATGTGTGTTTGTGTATAATGCAAAATTGTTTATTATTGTTGGTTCTTGCCAGCCATGCCTGCCTGCCCACCACCATACAACGAAAAATAATAATAATAATAATAAAAACACAGTAATTTCAAGGTCAAGTTCAAGTATTGCGAAAAATAATAAAATATAAAACAGGCAGGCAGGCCAGGCAGCAAACACGAAAATGGCAGCGCAGCAGAAGCAAGTTGAGCACAACACAATAAAAACAACAAGCCAACACAATAGCAAATTCTCATCATGATGATATGGTTGGTGTTGTGGAAAAGAAGAAGAGCGACGCGACGGACGACGGGTCAGTAGTATGAAACAGAAAAAAAAACGAAAAAACGAAATGAAACAAACAAATGCACAAATATAATTTATGTATTTTTGTTCTGTTCTGCTTCTTCGCCTTTGCGCTCAATCAATATTATATATGTATGGGAGAGGGAGAGAAAAAAAAACAACAAAACACTCACACTTGTTTAAATCATAATGACACAACCGAATAAACAACCAACTGCAGTTAAGAACGGCGAAACCGAGAAGAAAATTATTAATAATAGTAATTATTTTTAATGTTTTTTGTCACTCTCATAACAAGCTTTATTTGCAGTACGAAATAAAATAGAACTGACGATGATGATTACTCGTTGAGTTACTTGACGAAATAGACGGCGGCCGATGTATGCATGGATGTGAAGCAGCAGGCAGCACACACACAACACATTCAATGCCACCCTCCCGCCATTGTAACAAATAATAACACAACAAGAGTAAAAGAGTAGGGTAGAACATAATTACCCAAAGCCCTATGTGGATAAGAGAGGGAGAGAAAAACTTTACTGTTATGGGTGGTAGATCAAACAACAAGGGTTGTTTGTACAAAAAAAAACAGAAACGGGGAAATGCAAACAAGAGAAGAAATACCCATCAATTGGAGAAATGCAAAAGCAAAGAGAATTTTTACAAAATGTACTAAAGAGCAAGAAAAAGGAGAAAAAAATGATATTTTGCAGAGAGTGGCAAAAAACTCCGTAAGAGTGTGCAACAAACTCTTTAAACCATAAAGAGTAAAATTTATAAAATCGTGGGGAATTCAAGAAAATAAGAGAACAGCATGGCAACTAAAACTTTCGCTCCCGAATAGTTTTTCCTCATTTATTTTAGCTCCACAACATAAAGCGAAATGAAAATTTTCTCTTTGCATTAAAAACAAAAAAGTTGTTCGAAAAAAAAAAAAAAATGCGGCCTCTGAAACCTCTTTTCAATACAGATTGTTCCAGAGCATATATTTGTTGGTTGTTACAAAAATTTAGTTAATAGCTCTGTAGTTTTTAGTTTTTCATATTTTTTTCCATGTCTTTGGAAAAACATCCACAAACTACTACAGTTGTCGGAGGCGGTTGGTCGTAATTGAAAACTACAAAAATACATTTTTGTTCGCTGGCATATATTTTTGACTGGTGTGTTGCCATGGCATAATGAAAAGAAGAAGAGTGGGAAAATGACGCGCTATTATGCAGTTAGGGGAGTAGGGGAGAGATGATAATGTTGTGGTGGTGGTAAACACGAAAATAAAATGAAGAATTTTCAAAGTTGAAAAAGAAATGAAAAAATAAAGTATTGCCACTTAATTTATTGGCATTCTCCTAGAGAAGATAATTTTTTTCGAAAATTCCCAAAAAGGGAAAAAATTCCCCAAAAATATAGAAACACAAACAAAACTTCACAAATTGAGTAAATTTTTGGAAATCAATAAATATTAAATAAATACAAATTATAATAATGAATTGAAATTCCATGAAAATATGAAAAAGGGCTCAAAGACAAAGAATCTCACAAGCAGCTATATTTGCTAAAAAATGTTTTAAAACTTGAAATAGTTATTAGAACCCATTCAAAGGAAATAAAGAATCTAGAATCCTCAAATCTAAATAGGATGCAAACTTTAAAAATTTTGAATTCGATTTTTTCTCGTTTTTTAATCAAAATATTTTTAGCCCACAAGAGAAAAGTTTCTCCAAATTTAATAAATATTTTTTTTAATTAATTTCAGATTGCAATTTATTTCAAAATGAAAATTTTTCTATTTGTTTTAAATTTTTTTAAGAATATTTTATTTTACTTTTTTTAAATTAAAATTTCAATAAAAAATTAATAAAATTGAATTAAATATATCATTATTTTTTTAATTGAAAAAAAAAAATCAAAAAAAAGAGCAATTTTAAATTTTAATTAATTTTGGGAAAATAAAATTAAAAAAAAAAAAAACATTGAAATTGATTTTGTGTAGTTTGAAATATATTAGTTGCAAAAAATTTCGTTTTTAGTTTAATATTTTTAAATTTCAAAAATTTTAATTTTTTCCATTATTGATATTTTTCCTAATTTTGAAACTTTTTTTTTTTAATTTTTAAGAAATGAATTTTAAATTTTTGTTAAATTTGGGAGAAATTTTCATTTAGTCTGTTGAAGCTTTAATTTTTATAAGAATTTTGACTCAATTATTTGCCGTTTTTAAAACGGTCAGTCATTTGAATTTTAATCTGGTTTGAAATATTTTCATAATTTAAAGTCACTTTTATCTTTATAAAATAAATTCAAAATTTTCCAAATATTTAAATTCTTATTTAAAATTTTTCATGTTTTTTGCTTGATTTTATTTTTTACCAATAAATTTGAAGCAAACTATGTTAAAAATTTAAAAAAAAACCAACATTTTCCCTTAAATTTTTACAATTTCAGCAGTTTTAAACCTCAAATAACATTATTTTTCGCCAATCTTAATAAATTAGTGGTTTTTTGTGAACGTTTCTGCAAGAAGTTAGTTTGTGCCTCACGTAAAATATGGATTTTTTTGGGTTTCGTAATTGCTTTTATTTTTATCAAAAAAAAAAAAAAAAAAAATAACTTGAAAAAATTTGATATTAATTTTCGTAACTACGGTTCACTAGGGTATACCACACTTAAGATAATGTAGTAACTAATTCATAAATTTAGGAAAATTTGCAAATTTTTTTTCTTTTCAAAAAAAAAAAATGTTAAATTTGTATTTATTTATTTTTATCTGAAAAAAATTAGAAAAATGTGAATTTTTTCCTCTTTTCAAAAACAACAAATAAGTTTTAATTTTATTTATTTTTATCAAAAAAAAAAAGACTACTTTTTTCTGAAAATTCCACTTTTTCCAATTTTGATGCTGATGAATTTTCATACAGTTTGCTAGTGTATACCACACTTATGGCAATGAAATTTTTCCTCTATTTAGAAAAAAGAGCTAAAAAATTGTAATTTCTTACTTATTTCTTTATCTGAAATCATCTTTTTATCTGGAAATGCCTTGGTTTCAATCTAGAAAAAACTCAAAAATGTTGATACTGATTTTCCAAGTACGGTTTGACAATGGATTAACTCCTCCATTTACAAAAATTCGTTTCTATAAGCGGCAAGATATTGCGAAATTCTCCAATTCATTGATATACCACCGACTTGTAAAGTGGAGTAATTTCCTCCGAAATTTTAAAATTTAGCACACTTTTATTGTACGTTATAGGAATGAACACATTATCAATGTGTTATGTTGTTTATCCCTTACATTTTAATTCATTCCGAGCTTAAATTTTAATTAAATTTCATTTTTCCTAATGATTCCCTGCTATTTTCTCAAAGGGATTTCTGATTAAAATCCCTCTCTCTCCCTCCTTCAAAACAAACTAATGATGACAACACTAATCGATTATTATTTTTCGATATTTACTTATCTAGTCCCCCTGTCTTATGACACAAACATTATACATCATCTTGTTTCCCTTCCAAGGAGGGATCCATCTTTCAATTAAAGTTTTTCCCCCAACATAAAAAATTAACCCCACCAAAAGAAACTAAGAGTTGCCACATTCATTTTGCATATACCAAACAAACATAAAACGAACGAGAGAAGTACAGTCCAGAAAATGAAAGAAAAGAGCCGTTATAACTCACAAGAGCCCTTTTGTCAGAAAAAAGGGAAGAGGGGAAGTTAGATGTTGCTTTTTTAATAATCCACAAAATATTGATGGTGAGTTTAACAACAATAATTGTTGTATGTTGCTGCAGACGTGTGACGTCCTTGTTGTTGTTATTGTTGTGTTGGTGTTTTTGCATTTAGTTATTGCTTTTGCATTCTCTTTTTTTTTCTTGTTTTTATGATTCAACAACTCTATGCTTGGGTTTTTTCGTCTCAATTATGATGATTTTATGTGGGTTTTTCCCCATCTTTCTTTTCAATTTCTTTTATTTTTCACATTCTTTTTTTGGCATAGCTCTTTTTTTCTTCTTCTTTTTATGCTTGTCTTGTCTTCCCCGACGACTTCAATTTCATTTTTCGTTCGTTTTCTTTTTTCTTTTGGATGTTTTTCATTTATAAAAATAGCACACACTTCACCAAAGTAATACACACACACACCAACAAAACTCACACCTCTCAACAACGAAGCAACGACGACGACGGAGACCACAGCGACGACGAACAGAGGCGACTACAATTGTAGAAGAAAAAAAATTGATTTTTCTCTCTATGAAAAATTATGAAGATCGTTTTTAAATTTTGAAATAATCCAAGGGGGAAATTTTTGGTTAATAATATTTGACACTTTTAGAGTAACTTTTTTCTCTATTTATTTGCAGCACATTGTTTTTCTTTCTTTGTGCAAAAAAATAATGTATTTTTTATTATTCTTGTAAATTTATATATTTTTTCATATTTTTCTTTAACATTTTTCCTTTTATTTTAAATTATATTGAAAAACTCTTGCTTAAAAGCACGGACGCACGCACACACATCTCTACACCCATGGAAAAGTTGAAAAAACAGGGGCACACACACTCACATTTATGTATAATATAGTTGAATTGTTGTTGGTTTTTCTATATATGTATGTAGGTAGGTAAAAAGTGAAATTTCTATGAATTTCTTTTGTTTTGGGTTTGTTTTAGAAAAAGAAGCGCAAACACACCAAAAAGCTCCAAGAGCTCGAACGCAACTAAAGCGACAAAGCGTTATTTTCCCTCGTCAAGGCGAAGTAGTGAACCGAGGAGTGTACACAACTCAATCGAAACTCATTGAGTGCGCTCTCCCTCTCTTTATATGACACACTCTCTGTCTCGCTCTTCTATTTTCTTTTGCACTCTTTAAAACACTCACTCTCTTGCAATGATATTTTCACAAAATCACTCTCTTCGAGACAGGGGAAAATTAATCAAGCTCTTTTTGTTGTTTTTTTTTTCTTCTTTCATTTAAATTTGTTTATATTTCACAAGAAAATTAGAAATTTACCATTTAATTGTTGTTAATAAAGCCGTTTGTTGTTTTTCCTTGTTTATGTTTCATTTATTTTTTGTTGCAACTTCAATTGCACCAAGCAAATTATCGATTTGAAAACATTAAAGAGAAACGAAGAGTACGGATAGAGGAAAGAATTGAAAAAGTAATGCGAAGGCTCCCCAATTTTGTGTTGTTGTTGTTGTAGCAGTATAAAAATTGTGAAATTTACCGAAAATGTACCGTTCACTTGAAAGCCTTATGAAAAACTAAGCAAAACGGAGCCAACATCACTGAAACGACTCAACAAACGAAGCCAGTCAGTCAGCAGCACACCGCACACACACACACACATGCAAATACACCAACAACAATTGCAGCGCAGCCGAGTAAAAACATCATATAACAACAAAAACAGCACTCTTTTCACAAAACCAGTAATGCTTCACTTACAAATGTACAAAACCATATGTATGGCTGTGTGTGTGTGTATGTATGTTGGCAAAGTTACATACATAGCTAGCCTTAACCCAATAAAGAGCGCCACAAACTCATGAGATTGTTTGTCAAACGACGTTAAAAGAGGTCGGCTGGCTGATGGGAGAGAGTGTGTGGAAGAGAAAGGTGGGAAATTAAAATGCAAAGGGAATGGGCGCCAAAAACACAATACAATACATAATGAGCAGCGTTGCCATTTCTTTTGGAAAAATATGACATTTTAGCCAATTTGAGGAAATCAATGCAATTATTCTTGTGATCGTCAGAAGATTGTGGTATGATGTTAAGAGTTTTTAATTCTTTTTGGACAATATTTTAAATTGTGCAGGTATTAAGAAAAATTTTTAATTTTTATGGAAGAAAAAAAAAAAAGAATAAATTAAAATCGAGCAAAATTTTTCGGTTAAGTCCGACTCATCCAAAAATTTTCATGGAAAACGTAATAATTTAGAAAATTTAAAAATCTAAGGACAATTAAATTTCGTAACAAAACAGTAGGTATTAAACTATTTTTCTTAAAAAATTTGATGAGGTAATTATTAAAAAAACTTTGGAGTTAAGCATAAATATCACGATATGTGTTATTTAATTTCAAATAAAAATATTTAGATGACATTGCTCTGTTCCAGAACCTACAAGAATCTCCAGCTTTTGATTTTTGTTTCAATATTATATAGGAAAAAATCGGTCATTGGTAGTAAAAACATTTATTTTCTTGCTTTCTAGATTATATTATAAATTCCACACTTTTTATACCCTCAGCCATATGGCTAGAGAGGGTATATATCATTTGATACGGACAAAACGTGCCTCATCGAAAAAACAGGACATTTGAAGGGAGTATCCGATTTGAGGCAGACTTGGTACATCGTAATATTATTGTCACATTTAGATCGATTTCGGAGATAGGCAGTACCGGTCCACTCCTTCTTGTACCTCCTATACAAAATGCCCAAATTTTCAAAGTAAATAATTCAGTGCACAGAAAGAGAAAGGATAATCCAATTTTGCTCCAACTTTGCGAATCCTTGTATTTGCATTAGTGCTAAGTGAGGTGCGAAAATGAACAATATCGCTCCACTCCATCAAGTACCTCCCCCACAAAGGGTCAACATTTTAAATAATAACTCTTATAAAATTCAAAGAAAGAGTCCGATTGTCTTCAAATTACACATATCACAATATTTTTATTAACCCAAGGACTGCTGAGAAATTGGGATTTGTCGGTCCCCTACTTTTGGTATATCCCCCACAAAGGGTCAAATTTTTTTAGTATCCATGAAGCTCATAAATCGCGAAATTAACATCCGATTCCATTCCGAGGTGGTACATGTCAATAAATATGGTAGAGATCGGACCATTTCTTCTGGTACCTTCCCCACAAAGGGTCGAAGTTTTAAATAACGAAAACGATGATATAATCCGAAATAAGCATCCGGCTCTCTTCAAATTACACACATCCCAATACTTTTATTAATCCAAGGTCTGGTGGGAAGATGGGTTATATCGGCACCTCCCTCACAAAGGGTACAATTTTTGAATACTCATGAAGCTCATAAAACGCGAAATTACATCAGATTCCATTCAGACTTGGCACATCTCAATATTTCCATCAACATAAGATCTGTTATAAAGATGGTAGAGATCGGACTATTCATTCTGGTATCTCTCCCACAAAAGGTCAACATTTTGAATATCCTAAAAGATCATAAAATCCTAAATAAGCATCAGGTTCTCTTCAAATTACAAACATCACAATATTTTTACTAACTCAAGGTCTGATCTGAAAATGGGATATATCGATCCACTACTTCAGGTACCTCCCCCACATAGGGTTCAAGATTTTGAAAAAACAAAACCCTCAAAGAAAACGAAATAAGCATTCAACTCTCTTCACATTTCCCACATAGAAACCCCTTCTGGTACCTCACCCACAAAGGGTCACAATTCCCAATGCTTATATCTGTCATAACTTGCGAAACAAGTCGGCGATTCAGTACAACTTGCTACATCTTTATATTCCTCCAGAAATCTGATATGAATATGTAATTTATAGAAATTTACGATTCCGAATAGAATTCGAGATAAATGTTCGATTTCCTTTAAACGCACATACCAATATTTTTATCTGTATTAGAAGAAAATGAAATAATTGGTCCGCTTTATCTGTTACCTCACACATAATTCCCCATTTTCCAAAAATTTACTCATAATTCATATAAAGTACAGGAAGTAGTCGATGTAGTCCAAATCTATATCAGTCTTAGGTCTGATACGAATTGGTCTTTATTGGCCAACTGCTTCGGAACATCTCCTATAAAGAGTCACCATTTCTAATAATCATAACTCAAGGCTGTGGGTATAAATCTGTTGGCAAAGCCAACTGATACTATTTTACTTGTTTTTAAATATATCTAAAGAAAATTATTTATTTTTAAATTATTATAAAATTTTACCCCAAATATTTTTTCTGGTCGAAAACGTTCAAATGACAGCATTTTGCACAAACCAAACAACAACAATCCTCTGAATGGTGGAGTAGGGAACAAACAAAACATATCATAGAGAGAGAGAGAGACAGACGAAGGGAGCCATTACATTTGTTTGAAAATGAGAGAATTTCCTCTCATAACCACGAGTGATGTCAAAAAAATATATATGACGATGAAAAGCCTGAATTTCACACAACAAAGCACTCTACGCTGTGGACATGTGTGTGTGTGCGATTGTTCAAAAACCGAAAAATTTCCAACATCACCACGAAGCAGAGAAGAAGAGGAAGAAAAACTTTCAAAAAAGCAACAACACCAGCAAAAATTTAACACAATTTTCTACCTACAAAAATCAGCCATTATTATTTTGTGTAGCGTGTGTATGCCTGCTTTTTCTCCACTGAGAGTGTGTAAGTATGGCAAGCAAATGTTGGAACTTCCCTTTTACGTTTTGTGTTGACGTCGTGCTCTCCGCACGAACGAACATGACAATATCACTTCATGCTTTACTTTATTGGTTGATGTGGTTGTTGTTGCTGTTGCCCACTGTACCCCTACATTTTATTGCCATCCGTGTTGTTGCTGTATGGAATGTGAGTGTTCACTGGATGTGTGTGCCTGTGAGTGTTTTTGTTTAACAACATCAGCTGTCAACTGCGACGCTGGCCGCAAAAACTCCCTTGTTAAGTTTTTCGTTGACGAACGATTTTTCTGATGATTGTCGTCGGTGGTATGTATTTTGTGTTGCGGTGTTTTATTGGCGTTGCTGTTGTGATGTTGTTGTTGTTGTTATTGCTATTTTATGTATGATCTGAAATCATTTATATTTTTTCCACAGAAATATTGTTGTGTGTTAAAAATATAATAATGAAAAAACAAAACTGGAAAACCAAAAACGAAGAAGAAGCAGCAGTCGCACAGTGAGACAGAGAACGTTTTTGTGCTTCATATGAAAGCCCTCCTCTTGTTTTTTTTATTCAACACACTCTCTACTCAATATACAAATCATTATTATGATTATTTGTTGTTGTTGTGATTTTTCGCCGTTGCCGTTCGTTTGTTTGTTTGGCTGGATGGATGGATGGATGACGTGCCGTATTCTTTTCGTTATTGCCATTGTGTTGTTATTGTCGTTTTTGTTGCTGCTGCCAAGAATAGCTAATGTATGTTATGCGGTGCGCTGGTGCTTCATTTTAGTGGGAAGTTCGAAGTCTGTGTTGTTCGTTCGTTCGTTGTTATTCTGCTGGCATAGGCAACAACATCATCATCATCGGCAGCAGCAACAACAACACACCGACAAATAAAACCCCCCAGTGAAATGTCAAGCATATCATCGTATCGTTGGTGGGTCAGCTGCTTTTACGGGAGAGGAGAGAAAAGAGCGCCGAAGTTAAAATTTATTTATTGAAATCATTAGGGGGAGATCATTAAGAACATTTTTGTAGGTTGGCTTTTTTGTTTGTTGTTGTTGCTGTTGGTCTGTTCAAATTTGCTGTTGGTTTTTCGTCATTTCGACGTTGGGTTTTTTTTGCTACTGCTATGTTTGAGGTTTTCGTATATCGCTATAGGTATGGGAGTTTGTGGGGTTCTGTATGAAGAAATGTGAACATATCTATGGTGATATGAAATTGGAAAGACATTGGAGATCTGTCATAGGAAATATATAAGTATAGGCGGAAAACAAAAATCGAGTTTTAGACTTTTTGCCTTCAAGGGAAAGTCGACTTTTTAATTTTTTCCTAATCAGTCAAAACCAGATTTTCAATTTAGACCAAAGTTGATTAAAATCGATTTCAATCTTATTTTTTTTTTATATATAGGTCACCTAAATTCTTGTTCTA